TTTAAAAAAAAAAAAAAAAAAGAATTTGATGGATTCTTTAACCCTCTCTTTTTTCTGTTCATATTAATAATAATTAATTGTGGTTCTATGATATATGCAAAATTGCATTCTTTTGTTTTAAAATAATGCTTCTTTCTAATTAATATGTAATTATTGTAATAAGTTGCATGTGAGATAGAGATTTATGTTCATTATTTCCAAGTGGTGGGCCAATTTTGTAAATAACATTTACTAAGTTATACATATTTTTACTACAGATCTGAAATGACATTATTAAGTTCATGTGTGTATAAACTCCTGAATTTTCTATTCTATTCATCTTTCTATTACAGCCTTTAATACAAAATGTAGTTATTAAAACTTTATGATGCATTTTAATCTTGTAATGTAAGTTTCTCCTCAAGACATTTTGTTTTGAAATTATTCCTGGGTATTATTTTACTTATTCCATAAAATGGGTGCTTACTGTGTGCCAGGAGCTAAACTAGGCTTTGGGATATGTGTAGGATATTGTTAAGTTCTACAACAAATCCCAGTGAGAAGATTGTGTTAACATTAAACAATAATTTGATGAGAATTAGCACCTTTACCATTTAATCTTCTCATGGAGACAAATGAAATCTCCATTTTTTGGTCTTACATTTGTATCCTTCCTGAACATTTTATAGCTTTCTTCATGTGTTATCTACACTTTTCTTAATAAGTTTAGTCTTATATTTTTTGTCAATTTGTTACTATTGAATGAGATAATTTTTCTATTATATTTTCTAAGTAGTTATTACCAGTATATTGGAAAAATGTTTAATATTTATATATTTGTTTGTAACTGTCCACCTCATTAAACTTACTTGCTATTTCCGATAGATTTTTTAGTTGAGTCACTTGGGTTTTGCAGATAACCAATCATATCGTTTGGAAAAGAAGTACAGTTTCAACTCCTCTTTTCCCATTATTTATGCTTATTTCCTTTATTGACTAATTATATGCTAGCAGTTCTAGAATGATGTTAAATAGTGGCAGTGACAGTGGGCCTCTTTAAATTGATTCTTTCCAATGTTCCTTCATAAGGTTATTAAGTATTTTTAACTGGAATGGATGTTGATGATCAAATGCCTTCTTGGCATCTATCAAGATGATCACAAATTTTTTAATCCTTTGACCTATTGATTTCTCAATTATACTGATGTATTTTCCAACATTAAACTATTCTGGTGATTCTGAAATAAACCTTACTTGGTCACGGTGTATTATTCTTATAACATATTTTTTTGTTGTTGTTTTTAATCTAGGATTTTTTTCCTACACTTAGAAGTGTGATTGTATATAACATTTTCTTTTTTGTGTATGCTCTGTCAGATTTTGCTATCAGAGTTTCATTAACTTTTTACATAAATTGAGAAACTTCTCATCATTTTCTGTGCTTGAAACTATTTGAGCAAGGAAATTACCTCTTCTTACATGGCAGTGTTGACCTTTTGCTAGGCAAAAACACATATTGCCTAATAAATCTTCCTCTCTTCTTTCTCACTAGCCTATAAACAAATGAGAGTCCAACATGGTGCCTAAGGGATTACAAAAAAGTAACAACAAAAAGACCAGCACTGAAATTGCATACTGTACAAACGATCATCCAGATGATGCAGAATGAATTTATATTTTTAGTATATGGTCTTCAAAATGAAAACCAAAATTTAAAAAAATACTCATAGACAACTCACAAACTAAAGCTTGAGAATATTGACCCAGACTACTAAGTTGGCTTGCTATTCAACCTATTTAAGGCTGGACAAAATGAATTCATTAATTCATTCAACAAATACTAGAGTACCTACTTTGTGTTAGACACTGAGCTACGGAGGTGAACAAGACACATGAAGCTCCTGTCTTTGTGGTGGTTACACTTTAATGGAGGGTAGAGGGCAAAAAAAACAGAAGTAAACAGGTAGAAAAAAATGACCAGGGAAGACCTCACCGAAGAGGAGACATTTAACAGAAACCTAGATGAAAAGAGGGAGCTAGCTAGGGTCCTGGAGGAACAATGATCTGTAACATCTCTTGGAGTCTGTAGTGATTCCTTTCACATTATATTGTGGCATAAAATCATAGATTTTAAAGCATTCCACAAATTGGTTTTTTTCACCAGAATATAGAAATAGATGCTATCACTCATATGCTACAAATGTAAAAGCCTCTTTTCAAGTTCACTGATTATTCTAAATCTAACCTTTCTTAAAATTTAAAAAATTAGAATACTTTTGCTAGTGAATTTTACTCCAATATATTTTTAAGAAAAATTCATCAGTGGAGAATATTGAGGTTTTCAAACATAGAAAATTATAGACTAATACAGAGGATGGCAGCTAACATGGAGCAAGCAGGCTTCCTGAAAGCCAAGCATTTTCTAAGTTGTCATCATCCATTATCATATTTAATCCTCACAACAATGCTTTCGGTTAGATGACCTTCGTCTTGCAAAGTAGAAATTGAGACAGGAGATCAAAGCCATGCTGACAAATCAGAACTCACACTCAGACTTTAAAGCAGAGAAGTGAATCATTATAACTGTCTCCTTACCCCCAACTACCTTTTGCTAACATAACCAATTACTATCTTTCAGCTTCAAAAGATCCTGAAAAAGAACCTAAAATGAAGGGATCGTCCAAGTTCCTATCTGATAAAAGTTTGGAAGAGACGTCCTCTCCACTTGAAGATGGTAAAGAAATATATTGCTGCTGTTGTTATTGGCCAGATTTTTTCTAATATAAACAGATCAGCTGATAAAGCATGTTATTCTTTCACTGCAGCAGTTTCTCAAGAATCCCAAAGAGAAAGCTCTTTAGAGGACAATGAAGGAGCCAAAACGAAGTCATACAGTGATCAAACTGCTAAAACTGGTAAAGATGGTAACAAAATGAACCATAAATGCCATGTTTATGGATCTAATTTCCATTTATTTCATATTTTGTCTTGTTTATATTGAAGCTTAAAACACCCCCAAAATTGGAACAGTTCAGGAGAAAAAAGTTAGCTTCTCTTACAGATTTAAGCTATAGAACAAAACTAGACTTACTGGAATAAAGAAGAAAACATAGAAACTGAGGAATCTAATATGATTAGAACTGCCCCAAATTTTTCAAAATGTTTCTAAACGTAACACAATTATTATTATATAATAATAAAAGCTTTCTGCTTCCTTTAATGCGTTCAAATTGAACCATCATAAACGCAGAGTTTTAGCTATGAAGTGTTATCATTTGGTGCTATTTACCCTTATGAAGTTTTTCCCTGCATATTTTAACATAACTGAAAGCATACAGTATAAATTACTTTTACCTCTTGATTTATAATGTAACTTTAATTACATTATTTCATTAGGAGATATTTTAGCCCTCATTTTCAATTGCTATACAATTTCCCTATTTATAGATAATAGTTTTAACTAGTTCTTTATGTTGGAAACTTGTAATTTTTCTGATTTTTTTTTTTTTTGGCTACAAAAAATAATGTCTCAGTGAGCTTTTTACATAAAGTTTTGTCTGTGAGTTGACATAAGTGGCATCACTGGTTCATTGAGTATGAAGCTATAGACAGAGTCAAGTTGCTTTGCATAAAAGTTGTTCCAAATTATGTTCCCCTCAATAATATACAAAGTACATGTCGTTGTTTCCTCAGTATTTTCTCCTTTTGGATATTATTTTAATTTTTTAACTTTTTCTGAAGTTTAATATTTGTTAACCATTTATATTTCTTCTCTGAGGTGACCATTTTCTCTTTTGCCTATTTTTATAAGTTGTATCAGTTATATGGTTTCTATATAAACTTTCTATATCAGTCACTTATTTTTCATATTCCTTTTCAAAATTGGGTGGTTTGTCTTTTAAATCACCTTGCTGTTTTTTAAGTAGAGTAATTTTTTGTATTTTCGTGGTCAAATCATCACGTTTCCTTTGCTGATTTCTTCCATTTACTTTCAGACTTAAAAAGTCTTCCTTTCAACCAGAAATTTAATATATATATGTATATATATATACTTATATTCTTTCTTTCTTAAATTCATCCAACCATTTGTATGTAGTTTTTAAGCACATCTATAATTTATTTTGTTCTATAATTGTAGAGCTGATATTTTTTGTTTGGTTCCTACTCCTGAATCAGACAGATGTGTGCTTGCCTGGTGTGTATTTCAAGCCTAGTAGGCATTGAATGGGGCACTGTCAGAAACTTACATGTGGCCCTCTTCCTTCCCCAACATACACACAGCAACACCTGCCCCCCTACACACTAAAATTTTGACCAAGTGACTTCTGGGAGTTGCCAGCCAATACACTGAGAGCCCCTCCCCCATACTGTGTGTTCCTTCCTTGGGGGAGGCAGTCCCAGGTAAAAGCAGACATCAGTGCCTCTACCCACTGCTGGAGGGAGGTCTGGTCTGCAGTGTTCCCTGGTAAAAACGCACCCTCCCTGCCCCATGTATCTGAGATAAACACAGCCTTTACCTCTGGAAGGGAAAATTTGATAAACTTTTTTTTTCAATTCAGATCCACTGGCATTATATGAAACTGAAATTACTCTTGGTTTTGTTATGATTAATTAAATCATCTTCATTTTCTACTGTGTTTACCTGTTTTACTATTATGGTTATTATTTTAATCTTTTTTTTATAATTTTTATTTTTGTTTAAAGTATTACAGAT